AGCGGAACTTGACGGCCGGAGCGGAGCCGCGCTGGCCGCGGGTGAGCCCGGACGGTGCCCCTGGCCCTGCTCGCACCTGAATTCAGGGATTATTACATTATTGACATTTATGTCGCTGGAAAAAAGCGCCCTCGCAACAGTGACCCAGCTGCACTCAGGACACACCCCTTTCTCCTTACAATTAGTGTTTCCACAGGGGCGAATGCATACATTTCTCTTTACAATTAAACGTGTTTCCAAGGGAGCGAATGAGGCAACGGCACGACTACACAAAAACACCGAGTTCTCCTCCTGAAGCACTCTGTCTTGATGCTGGAACTGAGTGACTGAGTGATCATCATTAATAAGATTTACGAGGTCAATTAGTTCAGGTTTTCTTGACGTGTTGCCTGAGGAAAAAAAAGGTACAGGGAGGGGAAAGACGAAAGAGGAAAGGAGATACAAGCTGAGACCAGAGTCTGTGGGGGAGGAGATAACAGCCAGGACAGAGGTAGTAGCAGAGATTTGCTCTGAAACAGGATGTTCTGTTTCTTGTAACAAAAATCCCCAAACAAACAAAACAAAACAAAATAAAAACCCTCCCTTCCCCCCCAAAAAACCTCAAACCAACACAAACAACCAACTGAAAAATTCCAGTCAAACTGAAAGCTATGTTCAGTATCTTCTTACAGTGCAGCCAACAGAACAGTGTCAGATGACTCAGTCTGCATTCTCTGGCAAGAATGCTCTGCTGCTGATCCAATGGACTATTCCTAGATCAATAAAAGAGCTAAAAGACAGCTTTCTAGAATTGCATCTCTTTCCAGGAACTCAGCTACTTATGGTGTTTTATTTTCTTGGTGAGAAGAAAGCATTTAACCATTAAGGAGGAGAAAATCAACAATAAATGGGTATAACTTGTTATACATGATTATATACATGATTAGAGCTTGGAAACAGAAGATTTCAAACATTACTTCAAGACTTCAAAGAAAAGGGTGATATTTCTTTCAGGGTTTTTCTTTTGTTGCTCATCTGCACAAGACAAACCTCAACTTAAGATTCTTACTGAGCACCGGTATTTTCCATACAGTCTTCCCATTTCCATTACTCATTTTGGGGCAAGTTTTTCCATACTTGTTCTGGCTGCTAAAATGAATCACCAGTTGACCTCAGCCTCCTGCAGCAATCCTCGGAGAAGGAGGTGGTTGATATGAGTCTGTTGGTTTTTTTTTTCTCCTTAGTAAAAGGACCTGCCAAAATAAAACCAGTCATATACTAAAAAATTGGGTATGTTCAAGGTCAGGTTGGATAGATCCTGGCTGCTGTGGAGCTGTAGCCGGGGCTGGGTCCACACATGCCCGGGATCCAGAATGGCCAAGGAAGTGGGGACGGTGCCATCAGCAGCACAAGGGCGAGCGCTGCACCATTGGGAGCCGATAGCCGCACCATGCAGAGACAGGACAGCCCTTTCCCACCGGGAAAACACCAACAAGCCAGTGTAAACCAGGGGAAGGCGGCATAAACCCTCACAGATCTACTATTGGTGAGCAGTGGTGGGTGAACTACCTTTGCTCCAGGACAAAGGAAAACACGGCATTGCACCACAACCAAGCCTTTGCTCTGCCTGAGCGAGGCAGCTCCGAGGAGTAACTTCTGTTTGCCTTATTTTGAATACAATGCACACACACGATGCCCACTGGCTGAAGACGCCGGCAGCAGGCAGCTGCAGCC